TTTTGCTTTTTCAAGTCCAGTTTCCCTGAATGAACACAAATATATAGATATATATATATCCTTTTCCTAAGGTTTGATTCCTCCCCCAAGAATAAAATAGAATATTTACAAAACAAAACCCCCAAAACCTCTTAAAAACCCTATAGAGCTTGAATATCACTATTTCTTTAAAAAAAAAAAAAAAAAAAATTATTCAAGTTAGTGGGGTTTTTCCAAAAGCGACAAGAAAAAAAATTCAACTGATCTTGGCTCAGGGGTTTCATTCAACACAAGGAGCTGGGTGTGGTGAGTGTGTGATGAATAGAAAAAACAGGAGGAAAAAAAAAAAAAAAACAGGCAAAAATGATAAAAACACAGTGCAGAGATGTATGAGGTAAACAGGATCTGGCCTTACATTGCAACTGGTCCAAACCAGACACCAGACACCAGTCCGAGACGGCCACCGGGCTGCAGGAAAGCCCTGGGAAGCGCCGGCCACTCTTTCTTCCGATTTCCTTGGCTGTACTCACAATTCATCTTTCTGAATGTCTGAAACCTGAGTAATTCAAGTGTTCCTTGGTTTTCCCCTGTTTTATTAAATTTTCTTTATATATATACGTATATATATTTTTCTTTTTCTTTTTGGCGTTAGCTGTGGCTCCTCTGTGGATCTCTCCCCTCCCCACCTGTATGTTCCACCACCCCGGCCCCTGCGTGGCCCACCTCTCGACCCCCGCCCAGTCTGACGGGCTCCGGGGTGGGGCGGCGGGTGAGTGGTGAGGTTAAGGCAATGAGTTATTTGAGGTAGAAGACGTGGGGGGTGCGGACAACCCCGCAGGCCCGGCCTGGCCGCCCGTGCCGCCGCTGCCGCTGCTGGTCCCGCTGTTTCCTCCCCGGCTGCTGCCACCGCCACCTTTGCTGGGGGCCAAAGGTGGCGTGGGGGCCGGCGGCTGAGCAAACAGCACTCCTAATGCAAGAACAAGAGGAGAGACGGCGTAGGGGGTTTGAGAAGATTACGTGGCAGGTACGAGGGCTCCCAGGGACTGGCGAGGACTGGACGCCCACCACGGTCCCAGCCTCTGCTCCCCAGGGCTCTCTGGGCAGCAACCGCGCTGTCCTGTGTCCCCGGCACCACCTGGTGGCCCGTACGAGCAAGAGTCCCGACTCCATTTTTTTTGCAAACATCGCTCTTACTGTTCTTGAATGATGCAAGGATTAGAGACTGTCCCTCCCTCTCACCACTGAAAATCTCAATAGGACTTTGACTCCCCACCGAAACGTAACTACTACTAGCAGCTGACTACTGACCAGAAAGAAGCCTTACGGCTAATGGGAACAGTTGATTGACACATATCTCGTACGTCATATGTGTCACATACTGTATCTGCCCAACAAAGTAGGCTCGAGAAACTGTTATTAAAGAAAATCATAAGGAAGAGAAAATATGCAGCACTTACTGAAAAAAACGTGCAGGTCAAACCCACGCTGTTCAAGGGTCAACTGTTTTCTTGAGCACTTACTATGTGCCAGGCGCTGCGCTGAGTCCCCACTACGTGCTGATTGCCGTGCTTAGTCCTCAGTATGTGCTGGGCACTGGGCCGAGTCCTCACTACAGACTGGGCTTTGCGCTAAGTCCCCACTGTGTGCCAGGCACCACGCTGAGTCCCCACTATGTGCTGATTGCCATGCTACGTACACCACACAGATTATCTACTTGAGTCCCCAAAGGGGAGAGTTTTGCTGGCCCTCACGGCTAGGCCCACGCGGGTGGGACCTGGGGTGACCCAGGAGCACTGGGCTAACCCGGAGAGCAGGGTCAAGGTGCTACCTGTGTACATGACCCCGTTGATCTCCACCGACATGCTGATGCTGTTGCTGCCATTGGTGCTGGTCAGGCTCGCAGCCGAGTCCTGGCGGCTCTCGGAGGCTGTGGGAAGAAGAAAGGCCACCACTGAGAACCACGGCCCATCTGTGAGGTGACGAGTTTCACGTCTGTCACCCCCACTAGGCTTCAGGCTTCACAAAGCCGTGGACTGTATCTGCCACAGCGGACGTACTCAACGCGTGTTCGCTGAACGAGAACGCATTTGTCTGGAATTTGTGCTTTCGTGATTGTAAGCATTGAGCAGTGTCGCACGCCCAAATCCTAACAGCCACCGAGTCTTCCAGACGTGACTCACTCATACTCTTGAAAAACGGTATATCTGCCCGTTTACGTGCAGATCTCCAACGAGATCGGCTGGGACGGCTGTTCATGGGAACTTACTCGTCATGGCTGCCTATTTCTTCTACTGGTTTGGTTTCCCCCTTTTTTTTTTCTTGTTGGTTTGCGGGCGCTCTTTACATAGGATGGCTCCAAGGCCCTGACTGCTACACGGGCACGGAGCACAGAGGGCCTGGGCGCCGGGTCGGTACCTTGGCTGTTGATTCGGATGCTCATGGGCAGCTGGGCCGTCATGGCCAGGAAGTTCTGCTGTAGTGCTCGCTGCATGAGCCGCTGTTGCTCGTCTGCTACCAGAGCCATTTTCTTCTCCGGAGGCTCCCCGGACTCCAGCTTCTCTCGAAGCTGCTCCAGGGCGGCCGCCTGGGCCGCGACGGCCGCCTGGGCCGCCGCCGCTTGCACTGCTACCGCCTGGGCCGCCACCACGGGGTGGCGCCAGGGGCCCACGGGCAGGCGGCCGGGGACTGTGATGGGGATGGCCGAATCCTCTTCTGGAGAGGAG